TTTACTAGAATCATATACTTTTCTGGTAAGGTCAAGATTGGAAAACTTCATTCAGGCAGCCAGTCCTTGTCTTAAAGGGGAGTTACATATTCTAGAAAGGGTTCAATGAAGGACAACACGTATGGTTCTTGGCATGACTAATTTATCATACGAGGGTAGACTAGAAAGTTTAAATCTCTTCTATCATGCCGCAGGCAGAGAGATTTAATTAATGACTACGGACGTGACCTGTTCTCTCTTTTCCTTCCCACTAGGCCGGAACGCCTTAGAGAACATAGCAATAGAGTTCAAAAGCCTAGGAGAAATCAAATTGCCGTGGAGTACTGGTCCTCACACCGAGTCATAAACACTTGGAACGGACTCCCAGAAGAAGGGTTTGGACAACTACAGAAAATTACTAGGAAGGGACTAAGACGGGTTCCACTTCTTCTATCCTTAACCAATAAATCTGAACCTGAGATCTGAAATAGCCGACGACCTTGGAATTTTGACAGTAAATGTGGTGGTAAGTAGACGACTAACATGGACAAAAATGACCTTCAAGCGTCTCACTCCTCCAACGACCTTGACTGAGGAAAAGAGGTGTAGTGCATTTTGAATGTTTGAACTTTGTAATAGGTGGATGGCGACTTTTAAGGGCAACAGTAAACAATAGACGCCAAATTCAGACGACCCTGAAACAGCCAATCCAGTTCTTCTGGATGAGAAGTGGTACTTAATTTACAAAAAGTGTACCTACGATATAGATGTAATGAAAATGAATCATATAGGGTATATATCTCTAATATGCTATAAAAACTAGCCCCAGACTCTCATAGAAGTGGTTATAGACATATAAAACCAATATATTCTCTATTTCGAATTAGAGTCTGCAATGCACCCGAAATCGTTGCTAGATTCAGATTCAAATTATAAGGATAGAAGGCTCTTGTTGCCTATGGGAGGTCTTCAGCTGTAGCAGATACTGGTTGCTTATACTCAATTTACTTATATGGGATAGCTTTGATTTCGAGAAGAAAGTGTCTAAGAAAATCACTTATTTACAACTTGCCAACTTATACATACTTCTTAATATAAAGATGTAATAGACATTTTCAACCAGTATTATGACCACCAACCATTTGTCATGCTGAGCTATTTGATTAGTCAGATCAAGGCCATTTGACTTTGGTGTCTATTGTTTACTCTTGCCTTTTAAGCTTTTGCTCTAACGCATTCATGTAGAAGGGTGCCCTGCTTTCATTGTCCTTTCGATGTGATTGCTCGCAAGTTACCTCCTACTTCGTTGTGCCGTCACTAAGCACACTCTTGAGCTTGCTACCCCATTTAGTCAACAAATAAGTTGTACAGTATTCTTATCTATTGAATTTGACATTCAATCTGTGGTAAAAATATAGTCGTCATCTGAGCACTGCCTGGTCACAAGCCTTTTTACTTCGAGTTCGTTTATCTGTACTTACACGTTAGGTAGAGTACTGATCAGGGTTACCCGAGGAAAGCAAGTTTAGTAGGTGCCGATGTTATTATTATTATTATTATTATTATTTCCTTTAGTTCCTAGAGGAACATAGGGCTTCAGCCATGTGTCTCCATTGCGTTCGATTCTCTGCTAGATTTTTCACCTGGCTCCAGGTCTGCCCACATGCTTTCATCTCCTCTTCACATGATCTCCTCCAGGTCACCCTTGGACGACCAACTCGCCGCTTCCCTTTCGGGTTCCACTCGAGGGCTTGTCTAGTGATGTCACTTGCTGGTTTCCTCAGAGTGTGGCCAATCCATCTCCATTTTTTCCTGCCTATTTGTTTCACAATGGGTTCCTGGTTGGTTCGCTCCCAGAGATCTTTGTTGCTGATCCTTTCCGGCCATCTGATCTTGAGTATTGAGCGAAGACATCTGTTAATGAAGGTCTGTAGCTTGTTTGAGGTGCTCTTTGTGACACGCCAAGTCTCTGATCCGTATAGTAGTACTGACTTCACATTGGAGTTGAAAATCCCGATCTTATTTTTGACGCTGAATGATGTTGTCCTCCACACAGACTTCAGAGTAATGAAAGCTTGCCTTGCTTTCCCGATCCTTGCTTTGATATCCTCGTCAGTTCCGCCTGTAGTTGAAACAATGCTTCCCAAGTAGGTAAAGGAGGTAGTTTCTTTCAGGTTTTTTCCATTTATGCTGATTGCTGTCTGTTGTTGTTGTTGGTGTTAAGGACTATTTAAAGGTTGATGTCGGCACTTGCAGAGGCGTTAGTTAATAAACCGGTGGCAGCTGAACAGTGACAGTCCAGCTCCTCTACAGTTGGTGTGTTTTGTGGTTTACTAGAGTTAGGGTTTGTTAACTTTATTCCTCTCTTACTGACTTTGAAAAGGAATAAAATATGCTACTCATTTCAAATTTCATCCAGTGGAAATATACGGTTGAAGAATGCCGGGGTTGATCAAAGTCGTGCATCAATGTTTTTCATGTATAAACTCAGTCCCCTGCAACAGGCCTTTCATGCACCAGGTCAGGAATGACATACCATGTGAAAGCTAATAGTATTTCCTATTAGCTCTGTTAGGGCGAGCGGGACTTGAGACAATTTCTTTGAGTGAAATTTTCACTTGTACTTCGTGTTGAGGCCTCTAAGGATATAGATGACAGTTCAAAAGTACTTTGTAAATTGGTTTCAATGTTGTACTTCATATCGTCCCTCAATTGAGACAACTTCATTAATGTTAGCCGTTACGGAAGACTCTAAATGGACTTTGACGACCAGTCAGAATAGTCAAACTCAAGTGGTAGACAGTAAATCATATTCATTTGGTAGCTGTTTTCACTCCAACGATACACTTGTTATCTGGGCAACATTAGGCAAGTTGGTCGTTTCTGTCACTGTTATTGAAAATCAGGATGTATCTCTGATTTGCAGTCAATATAGTGTCGCTTGAGTAAGGCGTCTAAAAGTGGAATTTTGTCCCCGTACTTCTTTCCTCATGTGTCGCTGAAGATGTTTAAGTTGTGAGTTTTGTCTAAGTTGTTTCTTCTGATTATCACGAATGTGTCATCCACGTGACGTATCCAAATTTTGGATTTGGTCTTCGGTAGGATTATGTTTCTGAGTCTTTGAATCACAGCTCCACTAGCACTCCATGCCATCCTTTCGTCCGCGAGTCCACGCGAACTAGCCAAAGAACCTCCCGTTAGGTGAATGTTTCAGACTCACCTTGCTGGCCATGTGACCACATTTGGGTCTATTATGTGTGTCGGTGGCACAGCGGCAGAGTGCTCGCCAACCACGCGGGTGGTCCGGGGTTCGATCCTCGGCCGATGCACTCCTTTACCTCGGTAATCCAGTAATAAGGGTGGTAAAGAGGGAAGGTTGGGCATGAGGCTAGCAACCCCATCCTGTAAAAATAATCACCACTGCTACAGAAACTTCAAGCCTCTGACTTGAAGCTCTATGTTCCACTGTAAAACGTAAAGGAATAAAAGAAGGGTGTCTCTGAAACGCAACATTGAACGATGCCTCGAGATGCCAGAGTTCTGGCTGGTGATTCCTGTTGTCCGACATAGTAAAGGGTCTCGGTACTCCACTATAAAGTTGATAGCATAGTTTTAAGAGATTTAGTGTTTATGTGGTTCTCATCGTCCACTTACGGTCTCAGAGTTGAGTAACAGTAAAGGGCGATGGAGACAAAAGTGGTTGATGATCAGGAGAGCTTAGTGTGCTTCTGGAAGTGTGGGTGGTGAGTATTTCCTGTTTGCTTATAACGTGGAAGTAAATTTTTTCTTTTGTTACCTGAAATACAGGGACCATTAATGTTGCGTGACCGCAGAGCCAAGAGGATAACTGCTTCAAACTGGTTACACATAACTTGTTTGAAGTGGCTTCTGGAGTTGTGTCCGCATTAAGATCATACTACCAACTACGAACCACCGCAAGGTAAATTGGAATATACAGTTTTCGTGGACGTCTAAGGAGAGCACTTTACTACTGTTACATCCCAGTACGCTGCAATGTACTGGCAGTGCTGTCGATTACCTACACTCTGCCGGTCTCTACTTGACGCAATTTACCTATTTACCCAATAATATAGTATTCTACCTAAGCTGTAAGTACTGACGACAAAACGCAAATTAAAAAGACTTGGATATTAAGGAAAATGCGTTCAAGTGCGGGGTATATTTGAGTAAGATAAAATGTAAAGATTACCCAAGGATAAAGGTCTAGAACTTATTTAAGGGATATGGCTTTATTACGAACTCAAGGAACTGGCGTACAGACAGCACAACGGGAAAGCGCAAAGTGGCACTGACACCAGTTCGTGTATATACAAACTAAAACAAAGCCTTAAACACTGAGATGTGCACTACAGCACCTTCGCTCGTCGTTCCCAAACATAGTTTAATGACCTACACTAGCTGGCGACTGCTTCTAGCCTAAACACTACCCAAACGACGTTTCTGGCGTGATAGGACCTGCAGACACATTAGTTCCTGCCAGCGTAGCTTGTTGGGTCATCCCAATATACAAGCACTATCACCACGTCAAGGTAGCCGCTCTCGGTCGGGAAATTAATAGAGATTTTTGTTGAAAGATACAGAAATCCCCGATACACACTGGACAATCACCAGTGACTGTCACAAAATCTTATGCGGCACTATATCTTCTGCCAAATTATTTCTTGTCACTGAGGTCGACTTAGTTTTTCAGGAATTTTTCTTGTAAACTGTTGTACCTTAAAATATTTTGAAGGATTATAGAGTTATTTTGTTAAGAAACGAAAATGCTAATGAGCTTTGGCTAGTGCTTGGTGTGTAACAGCGTCAGATACCACCTAATGTTCAGAAGTACAATTTGTACCAATGTCCAATGATATAAAAGCCAACAATTTGCCGTTTTCCGGTACGAGTATGTCTTTGTACTATGGAATGTATGTGTCTTGATTCTAGCTTTTCATCTTCATCTTTACAGGGCCTCAACCTTGTCCAAAGGAATTCTTTTTATTACTGCTTAAGTCACAATGAAGAGAGCTGGGAAGTCAAATGATACGGACCCTCCACCCAAAATTTCTAAAACGAACAATACCCTGTTTTCTGAAGGTGAAATCGATAGCTGGCAAGTATGTTAATTTCCATCGTTCAACTAGTAGCATTTAACAAGCGTTGTTTATGTTAATAGTCTTGTTATTACATCGATTAAGATCATGACTCGTAACTTATTCTTAAAAATCAAGTGTTTTTTTCATTTAACCCTATATGTCACACTTCTTTTACCCATTCTATTTTCCACAGACTCGGATTTTATATATTTAAAGTACAGTGATCATTTAATTGGTTGAATATTAACATATCATAACTGTGCCGCATTTGTTCAGATGAATGAAGTGATTAGAACTGAGTCCTAACTATCCTCAAAATTTAATCCAAATGTCAATTAAGATGACCATAATAAATAATAACTGATATAGATATAAAACCTGGGCACTATGGTATAGTATAACTCCATTATAGATAAGATTTTATTTTTGATAAATCACACAGTGTTATACAGTAATATTAACTGATGACGTTTCGAGCACAAACTATTGCTCATCATCACATCAAGTCACTCACACAACTTTTTACTTCATTTATATACATGAGTGAAATTAATTAGACATTTGAATAAAAATCAATGTAAAGTAATGTACATTCAGAAATAATATTAGTGTTATCAATCAAGTACAATCAGATGGGAAATAAGATGTTTTTATAGTCAAAATAAGTAACTTGTTAGAGTGTTATAATGTACGTGAATTGAAATAGAATTTTAAGATTATTTATTATCCTCCTCTGATTTGACTGGTGGTAATAATATCTTCCATATTTCTGGTATTTGCATTGAGTCATTTATGTTACATGTGTTGAGTGTAGACTTACACAGTGTTAGAAACAGAACATATCTCTAGCTTCTTGACGCATATAAACTTGCCAATGAAGGGAATACAATTCGCATTTGAATCGGAAAATCAACAAGGAGAATTAGCTATGTTAGATTGTAAAATCAAACGAATGGAAGAAGGTAAACTGCACATTAGTATTTATAAAAAGCCAACGCGTTCTAATAGATATTTAGACTTTAATTTATCTCAGTCGTTGTCTGTAAAGGCTGGCTTAGGTAAGTATCTGACAAACCGAGTAATAACACTAAGTAGCACAAAGAAAGACCTAAACGATAAAATGATACAGATAGAAGAGGTATTGGTGTTAAATAACTATCCTATAAAATTCATTAGGAATAACAAAAAGGGTCAAAAGCAAAATAAGAATAATGGTGAAACTAATAGTGATAACATAAATTAGAGAAAATACAAGGCATCTGTCTGTTTTGTTGGGTATTATAAGTCACAAGGAATGTGTACATCTGAGCCATTGAGGACGATTTTGAGCCATATTAACGATTGTCTCCAGCCATTGGCTTTTATAGTCCTGAGGACCGCAACCAGGAAGTCTGCACCTTCCTTCGTGGTTTGACCTCCGCTAGCTCTTTTCCAACCTGACCCTATGTCAGCTGACATTGCCCATTGTTGAGGAAGGCGATGGCGATGTTGAGGCGATGTCCTAACCATCTTAGTCGATGTAACTTCACAGCCTCGTCTATTGATTTCCCCTCCCTCTTTACCTAGCACTCGACGCCTAACCTCAGTATTGCTTACCCTAATATACCACTTTACACGGGAGATAGAACGCAGGCACCTATGATCAAAGACAGCTGGTCTTTTCATGTCTTTCACTCTCAATGGCCAGGTCTCACAGCCATAAATGAGGACGGAGCGGACAGGACTGCTGAGCAGTACACACGCCCTTTAGTCGATAGCCGGATATCACGTCTACGCCAGAGACAGCGTAAACTGGCATATGCGAAACGAGCCTTCTGTATCCGTGCTGAAATTTCGTCAGCTATCAACCCGCTGGCACTGGCTGATGCAACTTCCCAAACAAGTGAAGTGGTCAACGTGCTCTACCAATTCACCGCCTATTTCGAAGCTAGGAGTCAATGTAGTCCAGTTCTGTAGCATCAGAACTACAAGGCATCTACAGTTATACCATATAAGTAGGGGACATCTGAGACCCTACGTAGGATTCTTAATAATTCAAGAATTAGGGTGGCATTCAAACCTACAAACTCACTCAGAGACAAGCTCTGTAGGCTAAAAGACCCGGTTGACCCAATTAATCAGATTGTTGGAACATAAGAATTTAGCTAAGGTAAGATAAGTAATTTAGAAAAAAGCCCAGCGATTACAGTGTATGCATTAACACAACCACACAATAGGGTGGGAGAGGGTTGAAATTCTAAGAAGTAATAAAGGTATGTGGAGAGAGAGATTGATGACTGAATCCTGGTTCATCGAGTCTACACCCAACACATGTAACATAAATGACTCAATGCAAATACCAGAAATATGGAAGATATTATTACCACCAGTCAAATCAGAGGAGGATAATAAATAATCTTAAAATTCTATTTCAATTCACGTACATTATAACACTCTAACAAGTTACTTATTTTGACTATAAAAACATCTTATTTCCCATCTGATTGTACTTGATTGATAACACTAATATTATTTCTGAATGTACATTACTTTACATTGATTTTTATTCAAATGTCTAATTAATTTCACTCATGTATATAAATGAAGTAAAAAGTTGTGTGAGTGACTTGATGTGATGATGAGCAATAGTTTGTGCTCGAAACGTCATCAGTTAATATTACTGTATAACACTGTGTGATTTATCAAAAATAAAATCTTATCTGTAATGAAATATATATTCAGTTAAACAAAGTCGATCGTCAGAATTTCTGACATCAAATGTTACCAGTAGATTAGAACAAACGGATAATCATCGGTAAGAATAAAGTTTACTAGATAGCCTATAATTTGTCAGTCAGTTCAGACCATCTTTCTCACCTAAGTTTGAGATAATACACAATGGCAGAATGTGTACATAACTTAAAACTTATTTGAAACTTATTCGGTATTTATTTGTGTTTAACGGCTGTAGTCACTGAAATATCCTTCTGAAAATGCATGCTTTTCAAGAAAATAAACAGTAACAGGTGGAAAAATTAGATGATGCACTTGGATTATTGTGAATCAGTAACTGCAAAACTGCGTTAACTGGTCAACTGTAACTCTTAAATTCGTAGTAACTAGTGCCTACTTGCATCCGAAAATATACTGTTTCTTCACTCTAATGACTGCGAGTACATTATGGGATGTGTTACCCCATTTATTAGTAACAGTAGTTCTAAATAAAAGGACAAAGTACAAATAGAATGATCAAAGTGAATTAATACCGTTTGTGGCGATCAAATTAACAACCACCTAGTTGGAAGTTTGTTCAGTATGTTTGTATGCAAGCGCTCTAAGAACTGTTTATGAAAGTTACAAACCTCCAGAGATATGAGGAAGGCTGAGTCCCCTAATGGGGTAGTTGGAGTGGTGACAGAAGAAAATGTACACCTGTATGAAAGTGTAAACCGTTCACGATAGAAGAAAATGATATCAGTATAAGCAGTAACGAAATTTCTCATTTCTTGATTGTTCTGTGAAAATCCTAAAACCCAATTTCAAAAGTCTGTTGATAAAACAGATGTGTCAGCTCTTTTGCACCCGAGCAAATTAAACTGTAGTCTACCAACCTCAAAAGGAGAGGTTGAAAAGTATACAAATAGACCTGTTTAAGTGTTAAATCTCACATTGTGGGGGAGAAAAAGCAGGCGTCGTGCGATAGTTTCATTACCTATGTGCTGATCAGCCAGAAAATAAAATCCCAAGTCGACTTCTTGTTGGAAATTACATTTCTGGTGAATATAAAGGGACACTGCTACAGAATAATAATGATTTTGGTTTAAATGCGTTCTCTGAACTGGATGGAGCATTCATTACCCTACTAGGCAACGTCTTCATCGCATACTTTAGTTTGAACAGAATGGAATTCTCAGTATTTTTCACAGTATCGCATCTAATTTACTCAAAATACAAATGAAATTAACCACAGGAATTTGTCCACACTTAATGTAAGAATAAAGTCAAAAATGCGGAAATCAGAATAATAACTATAATATTAGTAATGGTAATAATAACAGTGGGTTTGTTTCAAACAGTATTGTTGATACAGTTTGGAAATTTTACAATGTTATAGAGCATTGAACCTAATATTCTCCTGACATAGTACGGTGAAGGGAAAAACAAAAAATCACAATTATTACAGAGCTTAAATGATGTTTACACCTATATGAATATGAACAAAAAAGAACAGCAATAACAGTAAAGCTTGGTGGAATAAGGATGGAGAAAATGGTTTATTTGCTAGTTCATCCCTGACACTATTTTCATCACATAAAGTAAATGCTAAATATGGTATCGTGAAATTTGTATACTTGGACTTGCACGCATAAAGTCTTTTGAAATGACTTCTTGTTTTACCTGAGGGGACACAGGGTGAAAGCTGCGGCTAAAATGGATGCTCACAGTTTGACAAAATCCCTTTAACAAATTTGTTACATGAAATCAAGTGCCTATCAGTGACGATGTAAACGATATTGCACATGTGCAAAACAAAATGAAGTTAAACTTTATGCTTTCGATTTCGACGCTTCATACATCGAAAAATGTTTATTTGCTACAGCACATAATAATCTAGTATTACGTGTTGCATGGTAATTCCGGCTTAGTTTACTACACATCATCACATAAGTGCCGTTCACTTTTCATCATTTTTTCGTTGTTAGCTGAATGAAGTGACGCAGCGTCTTTTTCAGAAATATGGGTGTGTTGAGAGCTGTCTACTAGCCAAATTGGTAGACAGTAATATACGTCAATATTTACGTTCCCAAGATTTGTCGTGAGAAAATGTGAACAAAGATTGATTCAAAACCGACCACAGCAGACTTTGCGTAGGCGGATGCAGTTAACATATAGAGGATTTGACATTCAAGAAACAGTCACAAATAGATGAAAGATTAACTTTACGTGAGAAACAACCAATCGGAAGACTGTGTTTGTTTGCTTAAATATCCATAGTAATGTACATGAAAATACATAAATATGCGTTGATTTCCTTAATAAATGATCTGTTGCCTGACTCTAGCCTTCTGTCGTTACATAGGAAGAAAAATCCACATTTAGAGGACAAAATGACTGAGCGGAGAAATATTCACTTTTCAATTAGATCCTCATCTCTAGCTCTCGTCCAATATACATTTCTAATACAATACAAAAGTTCATCAATCTAGTGGTGATGAGTTTGTTAGCAGTTATTAGTCAATATACAACAATTAAATAGTAGAAATGACTTCGAAAATTTAACCATTTGGATTCATAATGCATAATTTTAGAAAAATAAGAGGATTAATCAAGATATGAATGTGTGTTCGAAGTGATTACACAATAAACCACTGAAGATGAAGTAATTAGGATAATAAAATATTTACTAGAACGACAACTTGTTAAAGGTTTAAAGGTCGGGAGGAGGGAAAAATTCCCAGTTTTCTACATTCATGTAATGATGACCAAGGTAAGGAAAGTGACTAGACGAATTTCTTCTGAATACACAAGTCTATCTTCTTCAGGTGAATGCCAGTCTCAGCTGTATGTAGAAGACTAAGTCGTAAGGGAAAAATTGTCCGAAATGTGTTGCGCTAATACATTACACTTTTCAAACAAATTACGTCTTATTGATTTGTTGAAATTCATAAATAGAACTAATTACTTTTAAATTAATATTAGTTGAAATACGATAAATAACTTCATATGCTTAATTTATATCAACTCAATATTTACAAGGTGCGCTAAAACAAAGCTACGAACAGATGTTGATTGTCTCTGGTCTAACTATTCAGAATGATCGAAAATGCTGTAATGAACATACCTAGTTGTTCGCCGAATGTAACTAGCTCCACAAGAGCACGTTGTGCGTCGGCGGCACAGTGGTTAGTACTCTCGCCGACCATGCACATGGTCCGGGGTTCGATCTCCTGCCGATGCACACCTGATATCTATGGTCGGCCTGCAAAATTTGGGCTATCGATATCACATGCTGAAAATTTCACACCTCTACCAAAAAATACGGTGTGGAATCAAGCTGTAATCAAAAATAATGAAAAAATAAAATAAATAAAGTAGTAGTTATACATAATGGAGGCAAGAAATATCGACGAACCCTAATTTCGCCTCCTCTAGTTTCTAGTACTATCTTTAAATTAATTTCTTTTGATCCCTATTCTTTTGCAAAAAATTTTTTTATAACAAAGGCGTCACTTGGTTGTTCGTTAGCTGAAAGACTTGAGAAAATCAGTACTATGCAAAATTTAACGACTCGTCAGGTTAAGCGATTGTTGAAGGATGTTCTAACTAACGAAGATGTTGTGAGTGCTTTACGCAGATATATTGATGGAGAATTTAAAGAGCCCGAAACTGGTGAAATTTCAGCCGCGACACGGAGACGAGCCAAATCGTTGGGATTGTTTTGCATCCTTAGTGAACTTGGAGAAATGTCAAATCATAATCTACAATCCAGAGCTGTTACTCGGTAATTTGTATTTTTACAGCTTTTGTTAGTTAAAATATAATATGGTCTGTTGTAACACTCAAATAAAGTATAATTATATTTCAGTGGTTTACACACAATGATAAGCTTTGTTATTGGTAATATTTCGAGTAAAATTACCAATAACAATACGCATCATTGTGCTTAAACCATTGAAATATAATCATACTTTATTTGATCTATTCCACAATGCTCAAACTTTTTACTTACATTAATGTTGTAACACTGTCCATTTCTTATTCTGTATTTAATGAAAATCATTTATGGTAATACTCTAAATGGCCTTAGTTACCTGGCTGACTCTCTCATACACTTATTTTAAAGGAGCTCAAGAATGATCTTGTTTAAGATCGAATACAGCGTCTACTAAATATGATTTGTTCAAAAGCATCACGAATATGTATGATATAATGTCATAAATATTGCTGAAGTGACGTAGGATTTAGTCAGACTGTTTTAGTTTTGAATTTCTCGAACTTTTAATCAAAAGTAAACGTTCCTTGAAATAGCTCGTGAATTATTTAAACATATACAGAGAGAGAGAGAGATTAGGCTCACATTGTGGTGAGAGATGGTTGCTAGCCAAATTGGTTGACAGTAATTGAGGTCAATGTTTATGTATCAAATACTAGTCATGTTGTGGTGAGAGATGGTTACTAGCCAAATTGGTTGACAGTAATTGAGGTCAATGTTAGTCATGTGAAAACAAGGCCAAGATGGACAGGCGGATACAGTTAACATATAGATGAAGTGACACAGCCACAAGAGATGCAAGGTTAACTTTGTGTGGGAAACAACCAATCAACAGACTGTATTTTCTACTAACATTAATCTACAATAATGTACATCAAAATCTAAATATGTGTTGATTTTCCGTAATAAACGATCTGTTGCCTGGCCCTTGTCTTCTGTTGTTACAACATTAGCCTGCTACATTTGTTGTTCTTGTTCAACATGGCCCCATCCGATATGAATTGTCCGGCCGGTAATAACACCAATTCTTAGTAGAAATGAAACAGATGCTATCTGTGTATCCATTGCAAGCATTTTCAGTATTCACATTACTTTATTTACTGCTTGATTTATGCCAGAGAATCGACTCCACTTATTTGTTTGTTTTGAACTTTTTCAGATCACTTACTCGTCGAGTCGAAGAGTCATTACCAGATCACTTATCACATTCCATTTCTACAAACACGTTTGTTGCAAATGTATGTTCTGAAGAAACTGGAAATCATGATCCTACTGCATCATTTCAACTAGAAAAGACTGCTGAACAGTCACTACCTAATCATTCTCTAAGCTTTCTTGATGAGAAGGAAAACGAAGAAGGAGAAGCAGATGCTGTAGAGGAAAGAAGTACTGATAAAAACGCGACAAACAAAAGTGTAGATGCTGGAGATCCAGACGATGATGTTTACGCTCAGTTTCTTCGATCATTATTTGCCTCTCCCTGTAATTCATCAAACTGTACACCTAATAAAGTATGTTATGGAATATGCATATATGACATCAAATGTATTCACTTGTTGCACTTTCCCTCACTGTTTGTTATATTTCTAGAGTATTTCATTGACTGTCATATGTTATTTATTAACCTATGTTATAGGATGTTCTTAAGTTATAGCATGGAAAGCTTTATCCATGTACATATCTTTATTTTTTATCTTCTCTTCACAACCGTTAGTTAAGTATCTGCTTTTCCTTCAAAAAATTTTGACCGGTAGCTTTCGTATTTGAAAGTGGTTTAATGAGAGGCACCTAAGTCACTGGCGGTAGATAACCAGTCTGTACCTGATCGCCCATTTAGTGTGTCCCACCCTTTACGTATCATTATTTGAGATAAGTATCGTTAGAGACTTCTATGATCTCAAATTAGATAAGGAAAGGACATCGGTTAGAGAACGATTGAAAATGCAGTCCGGTATTATGTGTGTGTCCCTGAAGAGTCCCATACTAAGAAGAAATATCCGCTGAGTTCCCCTTCTTTTCCAGTGTTTCTCTTATTGATATCATTTCGTGATCGGACTTAAAATTAACTAAATCTCTGCAAAGCAACACTTAAAAATGTTTGAATGTTTTCAGTTGTATGTTGGTAACGTGGTTTTTAAAGCATAATGGACATTTCGAAGAAGTGACGGTGACTGAGAGTTGAATAAAAGCAGTTGTGAAACAATTAAATCACCTGATTAAGTGATATTGTTTGCAGCGGGTATCTTGAAATACAAATCAATCTAAATTTAATAAAATGCATACTGAACAGTTGTGGGATTAGTTGTTGATGAATGTTTTTCAAACTTGATTGCTGCACTCCAAAGTCAGTAAAGATTCTGCTACTATTCCGTTTTTTCCAACCATCACTTTAAAGAGATAATACACTAGACTATTGATGGTTTCAGAAGTTATTGTTGTGTCTCCTCTATCTATCTTGCCAGAATTTGATAAAATAAAATATGACTGTTAACCTGTTGTGTATTAATTTTAATACCAGCTTACTGTAAAAACCACTTAAATCTCGTACGTGCATTCTCCAGTTTCCCAATATTAACTATTAATCATAGCAGATAAAGTCTTGGTTGCTTTCTGTGAATGTCTATAGATTGTTGATCTAAATGATAATATTATTGCTTAATGACTGTCAATGAATTCTATTATCATTCCTATTGTCATTTTTATTTATTCATAGTCCAACTCACGAATAACTACTCCAATAAAGTCATCTGCAATCTGTGAAAATCTCTTAAGAGATGATTCAAATGGCGTTGAACCTCTTTCATCAGATAAACGTCATTCTGGTTTTCAGAATACTAAGACACTGTCACTTTCGTCACAATCGCCTAGTGGACGGAATATAAATGTTGATGAAGACGAGGATCCAGATGATCCAGAATTCGATGTAATGGCCGAATTGGATGAAGTTAATGGGGAGGACTTTTTCTATGAACTGAGAGATGATCGTGCTGTACGTGTATCAAAGGTGGAAACGAAAGTCAGTAATATTTATTTTAGTTTTATTCATTTAATCCTTTTTAACAACATATGTTATGTTGGCTAATTAATTACCACGTACTTCCATTTTCCTGTTCCTTTCGACTTTCGCTAAATTCACAATGCGGCGCAGCTGTTATCCAAAGTTATTGGTAATTAGTTGTTTGCACAGTTAAGCTGACATACGTTAAAACTTCGAGATGGTATTCCATTCAGATTATCTTCCCTATTTCATAAGTCTTATTGTGCTGAAATGATTGGTTTTTACTGCTCAGTTAAGAACAACGTCTCAGGCAATTTCGTTTTCCTATTTATTGTATCACTTGCATTTCAGCACACCATCATATGACGTCAATTTTATGACTTTTTTATTGAACACCCACCAATCTTTAATATTCACATTTGTTTTTTAAAATGTTCTATATTTGTTCATTTCGTCTTTGTGTTCTGCTTTTAAAATATGCCGAATTGAAGTGATGTACGTGAATAACAATTCCTGCATTGGTCTGTTTACCACTTGTTTCTTTGTTGATGAATTGCTTGAATTATATATAACATTTTTTGAACTCCATAGAAATCACTCAGAAGCATAACTTTTACACACTTCTGTTAGTGGACTTAGGACTAAAATAGTTACACAGGGTGGCATTCAACAACTAATTAACCTAATTCATTTTTAGAAGCACCTAGCCATCACCTGAATAGTTTAACGATAGAGTCTGATTCCAACAGTGAAAGATGGATACTTGAATCCTAGAGGGGATATGGATTTCTCTAAGGGCGCAGAAGTACCATTCTGATAGGCATCAAGCTTATTTCAAGCACAGTTTCCTATTGATGTTTGATCCTTCCGAATATTGCATATAGAATTAAAATGCGTCGCAGTAATGTTTCACTTAGTTTAATGACCACATTCTACACCTGGTAGAGGGATTTTGATCAACATACGTAGGACTACACATTTGCATTGGTTAGCAGCAGGTGACCTGTTATGATGGCTCTGCTCTCTGTCGATGGTCCCATGAAAACTATTTTTTAAAATCCCATTATAAAACAACTTTTCATTTCATCTTCGGTCATGACTGTTAGTTTACAAATCAATGGACAAATTAGGCGGTCTTATCAGTAATTGTGAGCTTGACAGACACTATAGAATTCTGTAGAAATTGTTTTGTACAAGTTGAAAGGTTTATACTACAGGTAGCAAGAAAGCCCAGGCAAAATTGAGTAGGAAGTTCACATTGACTTTCTTCTGATTAGTTAACTAAAATGTATCATATCACTATATCACTTTTATTTGATGTCCTCATTTGATCGTGCTTGCTTTTTAAGCATAGATATCGTGATTGCGAAGGCATCAATAACAAATAAATCTGATAACGCTTTAAAGTATGATTGCAATATTGTTTCAAGTCTTTCTGTCATTAGGTACATAAAAGTCATTCATTTATTCCAATACTAATTGGCAGATGAAACCAGCAGATATGCCAAAGTAGCCAAATGTTTTTAAAGTGTAATTTATTTAATAGATTATACTTCATTTAGATATTTTTGTTCCTTCTTAGAATCTACACGCAGATTTACGGGCACTGTTTAACTCTGGAGAGGAACGGGAAGATTGTACTTATAAATCAAGGAGACCGTCAGTTCTAGCAATGAATGCTTATCGCCAACGGCTATTCCAAATGAATCGTACCACACCAAATCAAAAGTTTAGTCAAACAGAGAAATTTGACATGACTCATTACTTTCAATCCTCCATGCCTTGTACAACTTCATCGGCGAACGTGAATAAATCTGTTGTTTCAATCCCACGACGCAAAAGAATCGCGTTAGTTTTGCTTATTACTCATTTTTGATTGTCAGTGTATTTTTACTTATTGTCAGTTGGTGTGGGAATTCGAATTATTTAGTTATAAGTCCGAACTATTTTCCAACAAGCAATATTTGTCGTAGCAATTAAAAATATTAATCACCATATAATAGACGTGTCTAGGCTAGGAACTTACATATCATTACCGAACCGCTTCAGCTGTCTTAATATAAACATTACTTGTAAACTACGTTCTCCACCAACGAGCGAGCTATATAATTTGTTAGTAATTCTAGATGTCTTTTTCTCTGCAGTGACTAACGTGTATTGTTGTCCAGTGATGCCCCAGTTGGATTTTAGCAACAACAACAACGTGACTTCTTATAGGTTGTATTCAACCACAATTTCACGGAAATGTATGTGATATAACACGCAGTGATACAATATGGAAAACTGGATGACGTTTCAAGCACAATTTATTGCTCATAATCCTATTGATGCATTCACACAGCTTCATGATTCAAGACACATATAAATGTATATTTCTCTTTCCCTTGTTATTCATTAAAATTTCCCATATATCCATAAGCACACAAAGCCTCCTGATCATCATCTATCTTTGCCCCTGTCGCCGCCATCATCTCACTTCCCCAATACTCTCAGTACTATTTTGCAGGCTAGCCAGTCATCGTCATACTATTTTGTGACCACAAATATCGATGAGAGCTATAGAAACAGCCCCGATGGCCTCTTGAAGGAACGCCGTCAACTTCTTCTTGGAGCATTTAACGTCACGACCCTCTGCCAAATCGGACAACAGACATCACTTGCGAGATCTCTGATATCTCAAGCCATGGATGCATGTTGTGCTTCGGAGACACGCACACAAGACCCGAGTGTAGTTATTGACTTAGCCCCACTCAATCAACAAGGTGAATTTGCGAAATTCACCTTGACGGTATCGCGAGACTCCTCAGCTAGTTCGAGGCGACTCGCAGGTGTGGGAATGGCATTGAGTGTAGTGGCAGGGAAATCACAGATTAACTGGATCCCAGTACAAAGTCGATTCCGTACAGTCCGTGTGAATCGGTCCATCAGAAGAAGCAAGGACAGCTCCACTCGTCGTTTCATTTTCATGGTCTCCGCTTACGCCCCAAGTGACTGAAGTTTGGATGAACTAAAGGATGACTGCTACTTGAAACTGTCTAGTTTCCTGGAAAAAGCAAAACGCTTAGATATAGTTGTTTAAGCAGGCGACTTCAATATCCTAATAGGGAAGTTATGCCAGATTGAGAAGTATATAGGTGGTACGTATGGAGTTCCCTGCTGACGAACCGACAACGGTGATCGTCTTCTAGAGTTCTGTTCAGAAAATCGTCTGTTCCTAGTGAGTACTAACTTAAGACACAAAGAGAGACATTGCCTAACCTGGCGACCTCGATCTCCAGATCAATGTTGTACTCAAATAGACCACATATCGATAGGCTATCGTTGGCGAGGATTAGTAGAAGACTGCCGCTTCTTCTAGAAGACGTGCGTATACTCCGACCACGCCCTGGTTCGCTCACGTTTATGCTTCCGATTAAATGGGCATAAAACACTGTTGGCAGAGAGGCAGTTACGTCCTTTAACTAGATGAAGACACTGAGTCTCTATTTAAGGTAGAAATAGCTAAACACGTATCGGAGATGGACAGCAAGACTCCTCATGAGGAAGCCTGGTGCAATATACGGTTAACTGTATACACAGCTGTGAAGGCTGTTGTTAATAACCTGAAACCAAAAGTTAGTAAGAGCCAGTGGATTTCTACCACCTCATCCGAACTGATTAAAGCAGGAAGACTGATTCCAGCGAGCTCCGAATATGATGAGGAGCGAAAGCTTCTCAAAGGTGACCGTGGACAGTAGTGGGCGAGAAAAGCGAAAGAGATGGAAAAGGCATCGGTAATAGGTAACACCAGACACTATTTATTTTTATCAGGGAAGCAGTTGGCAAAAGGCAAATGATAAGTGAAACAACCCCCGAGGAAAATGGCACCTTAATTGGCCCTCAGGATAGACGACTGGAACGTTGGAAAGAACACTTCGAGGAGTAACTTAACTGGCCTACAGCCACATTCAAGTTACCGAGCATCCAACACCTCCCTGAATGAACGAGATATAAACACCGGTCCTCCGTATCCAACCCTAACTGAGGTTACGAAAGCTGCCACTAGTCTGAAACGAGGCAGAGCTGGTGGAATGACTCCAGTGGTGTTCAAGGACTCTGGAGACAGTTTACTGGTGTGTTAACTAAGGTGTTACGCAGCGTCTGGGAATCAGAGGACGTCCCGTTGGGCTGGTGCAAGTCATTGATTATCTTTACATGCAAGAAGGAAGACAAGTCTTCCTATTATGATCACAGAGGGTTTGGCTTGACTAATACTGTATCTAAAGTTCTAGGCTGAGTGATCATGCGTAGACTAAGTGGTGCTCGAGAGGAACAAAGACGCGAGAACCAGGCAGGCTTTAGAGCAGGAAGGGGGTGTATTGATCATATCTTCACCCTTCGACAGTTTTTGGAACGCAGGTTGCATACTTACTGGTGTCCAACAATCGTCATATTTCTTGACGTGAAAACGACACTCGATTCCGTCGACCGAGAGGTACAATGGCGATGTTTGGCTGTGAAGGGAGTGCCGGGAGAATACATGGCTCTGATCAGGGCACTTAATCTATTCGAACTCGTGCAGCCAGCCAGATGGAGGACAACGGAGGGTTGTCAGTGGTATCCGTCATGGATGCCCATTGTCTGTTTGATTTCATCATAAATGTACTACTAATGAACTTATCCCTAACTGACTTCAGCGACTCAGAGACTGACTTGTTATCAGAGAATAGTAGTCACGTTGACTGATAATATGCAGGTGATATGGTCCACCCTGCTAGGTGAAGACGCTAAGAGAATGCAGAGTCTTCTGAACACCTTGAGGAGTAGCAATCTTCGAATATTTGGCATGCGATTCGTTCCTGTAAAATGTAAGATGATGCCACAAGACTGGACTGGACTGGACTACGTTGACTCCTAGCTTAAAGATAGGTGTTGGAGTGGTGGGGAGGTTGCATCAGCTAGCCCCACCAGCGGGTTGATTGCTGACGAAATCTCAGCACGCATACAAAGGACTCGTTTGGCATTTTACAGCCAACTTAGGCCATCTTTGGTTCAGCAGACGTGATATCTGACTGGCTTAATGCCTTTTTTAATTCGTTTGACTTCTCCTAAATCGGTGTCTTGCTTCGGTCTGTTTAAACTTGTTTTTGGAATACATAGACAACATATATGTTGGCTGGTAGCTTACCAGAAACATTCCTTATAATGTTTCATAAATAGTCTGTACTAAATACTTCGTTAAATAATATCAAGTAGAAAATAGAGTTCATATATCACTTCAACTAACTGAAAAAGGTTCCACCAGTTTTAATGAATTTATGGTCAACAAAATGTCTTTATGCGTGTACCATGTTCAGGTAACACTCAACAATGTAGATTCAGTTTGTAAATAATCGAATCCCACTGCATCTCTTGGTGAGACATTTATCAAGTCGGTTGTCGTAATAGAATGAGTGTATGCATTATGTGTAGAATGAAAACTGAAAGTCGGCGAAAGGCCATTGAATGACAGACATACCGTTAAATAAAGTATCTGAATTATTTTCCATTTGCAAAATTCATTCTACATTTGAGAGGAAGATATCGAAATCAGCTGCAATCAGATTCACACTAATGACTTTCGTACAAATGTAGTTTATTTTATTGTATACTAAGTAAAACTGGTTAAACATATCTCCTTCCTATCTGGTGAATATTGTTTGATATTGATTCAGCTGTCTATGCTATTTCTAAGTCCATAAATTGTATGTTACGAAACTGTGCTTAAAATTATTTATTAGGATGACAAGCTAATTTGCCACTTAAATCGATCTGTTTCTATGTCATCATAAATTCATGTTATGTCCATTGTTGTTTCAGATTAACAAATACAGAACTAGTTCGATTAGAACGCCAATTGGGAATGCACATACAGTTGTTGACTACAAGTTTCCTGCTCACTTATGATTTTCCTGATATGCACGAATCAACTACTCGACCATGTGCATCTCTTCTCAAAACTTTGGTTGCCAAGCGTCAGGCTTTTGATTTAGTCGCGCTTCAAAAAAAAGTATCCGGTGCAATTCATTCTGTAACTAGCTTCTATTGGCGTTGTCCTACCCTAGACATGGCTATTGATTTGATTTCTGATTACTCTGGATTATCTATGCTTCCTCGTTTACCATGGAATCCTTATAAGCAGGGAGTAGGACATATCTTGACTAAATCGCAATCGTTTGCCTTCCCGATTCCATACTGTTTATTGGATATAATGATCAACAGTCCTATTTGGTCTTATGCTTATTTAATGCCTACCGTCTTGGGACCTCATCCAAAAGGTCATGTTCGGCTAGTATTTCATCCGTCAGAAGATGCTTTGATGGTAATGGGACTGGCAGATTTTTCAGGTGCTTTAAGCCGCTGTCGTAGAATTCTTGAATCTAAAATGTCTAGTCAACGTTGCTTCTCAAGAAATTTAAAGTCTAAAAATAAACAACCAGGACGTTACATTGCCTATCGTTTAATCGGTAGGTATATACTTCCACATCGTACATTTTTACAGCTGCGCTCTCGTCGATGGAATCTGTTAGCTAATCGTGATAGCATAGATAACGCAGGAGATTCAAGACCAGTATCAGTTGCCACTCGTTATCTACTTCAACTATATAAGGAACTAAGTCAACCGGGTGAAGTAGACCTTAAACGGATCCAACAATATGCTAATGAAATGAGTTCTCTTGCTATTCCTCATGGTATACCACTGATTACCTCATGTTTAAGTGATAGGAATCCTCAGGAACTGTTTACTTTCGAAGGACTTCCGACTGAAGTAGGTTATGAGGATGTATTAAGTTATAATAACTGCGGCGAAAGCATAAAACGCAAGTTAGATGTACTAACTGAATTCACGCAAAATGCAAACTGTTTTTGGAAATCGCAGACGGAAAAAGCATCTCGAAGTAAAGAAACAGAAACAAACTACTTGTCGGTTTTAGACGACGAATCCATGATCAAATTAGAACAAAATATCCAATGTGATGTTCTCGGTCCAAATTACCTACCTGCTATACCAGTTGATCTTAATCCTGATGGGTGAGTTATCATGTTTTGAACAGTATCTATGCTAGTATATATATATATATATATATATATATATATATACAATTGCATATACACATATATATTTACATATATATGTATATATGATCACCCAAATCCCTGCAGGTGAAGCGGTTTCCGAACCTTCGACCCGCTTGAATTACGAATGGGAAGTTGAGACCGATGAACCACGTGCATATTTCACATTTCATTCCAAGTGCACACAATGAAAGACTCATTTCATTTCTCTGAAAGTGTGAACCACATGAACGTTTTAGATAAGTTCATGGTGTCATTTGATGTAACCTCCTTGTTCACGATGATTCCAATCAACGAAACTATTGAGATCATTTGTCAGCAGTCTGATCTTCTCCCACTGCCAGAGTCGGAATTCAAACGCCTACTGCTAATGTGCACCATGGATGTGCAATTCCAATTTGACAACACTTTTTATCGCCAAATAGATGGTGTGGCGATGGGCAGTTCACTTAGCCCTGTTTTAGCGGATATATTTATATCCAACCTTGAAAGAACAAAGTTGAAGCATGCAATCGATGAAACAACTTCCTACTGTCGTTACGTTGATGACACATTTATAGTGTGCAAAAATGATAGTCATGCTTCACACCTACTAAGATTATTCAATGATGCACACGCCAATATCAAGTTCACTATGGAATGTGAAAGTGACGGGAAGTTCCACTTCCTCGACATCGCCATGGAACGCCTAGAAGACGGTAGTCTTCAAAAGTCAATTTATCGTAAGTCCACATGGAAAGGACAATACTTGAATTTTAATAGCTTTTGTCCAAATAGCTATAAACGAGCACTGGTCAAGACTCTGTACTATAGAGCGAGAAGAATATGCTCTACAGAGAAACTAGAGGAAGAATTTGAGTTTCTTCAAAAGACATTGAAGAGCAATGGGTACCCTCATAGGTTCATCAACAAGTATGGAAGATCTGCAGTTGCAAATGAAAAACAAACCACAGTAAGAAAAAAGCCAATCTACTTTGAGCTTGATTATAAAGGCGAAAACATTGCAGTGATGATCAACAGAAGGCTGAGTCCATCACTAGCCATAGCCTATCCTGCAGCTAAGCTCGTTCCCGTCTTTCGAACAACTTGCTCTCTGGTGCAATCAAAAATCGATAGATATCCTTCTCATGTTAACTCCAACTGTATATACAAATTTACATGTATCTGCGGGAGCAGTTACATTGGAAGAACAGAAAGAAGAGCATATCTACGATTTTCTGAACATGTACCAAAAAGCTTGCGTCTAAAGGGAACAAATGCTTTAGGCAGTTCCATCGCCAGGCATCTTCTTGAGACGGGTCATGAGATGGACGTGGAAAAGTCATTCAAAATTATCAATAAGCAAAAGAGTTCAATGCTCCTTAAGTTCGCTGAAGCCTTTTCCATCAAGCGCGTAAAACCTGATTTGTGCGTTCAGAAAGAAGCAGTTATCAGTCTTTCTTTGCCCTGGTAACTGGATATTTGTCATCCTAATGCGAGATACTGAAAAGTTTTCATTTTTTATGATTATTATTGCTCGGAATTGTGTTCAATATTGCATATATATATTATTAGTGTATGTGTATATTGATCGATTGATTTCTGTTTAAAATGAACTCTGTGCAAGTATGTTAGATTGTTTCTGTAGATACATTTAATAATGTTTTGCCCTGTAAGCAGCTGAAGAGAAGGCGACGAAAGAAAATATGGTACCATTTTATTCTGCTAAAACTGTAGTTGCTGCTTTGTTCAAATTCATTAAGGGGAACAAATGTATGAAATTACTTGACTTTTCTTGGCTTACAAATTCTTGTGTGATTCTCCTTTCAGTACTGTGGTTCTCAGCAGAACTAGCGAGCCTGGTTTGGTTGAAGTTACCGAGGTCACAGATGAGCCAGGGTCAATTTCCAATGAAAAGTCGACGAACTTACCAAGCTCAGAAATACGGCATGGTCGTGTTTGTCAGCGTATTACATCACATCATATTGAATTCATCTTAGCCCGTATTAACAAACGAAAGTCAGATGGTTATACAAATAAAAATGAAGCACGGAGCGTTGCAGATTGCGATATTTTGAATGGTGTTGTGACGTCTGGTGTTAGTGATTTTATTCAAGGCGAGCAACAATTTAATGAAATTTCAAATGTTTTCGAATCTTATTACAATAATACTGGCAATGTAGCGCTAGATGCATGTCAAAAAGTAGCTGATTCTTTAGTGAACACCTTTCATCTTGGTTTCGATAGATTTTCCGGTGATTATGGAGACACATGTTTTAGTCCAAAGAAGTTTAACCACATTCTGAAGTCACCGTACATCTTTAATGCTGCTAATACTACTTCGTATCTGAGCCCTGGGTGCCCCAGTCATGTCCAGCCTATTCCGGACTCTCTAGTTTGTATTAGTGATGAGTGTCAGAGCCAACAAGCTGGTGTTTTCCCCAGTGCTTGTTTTGTGTCTTCCAGTCGTTTTATTGCACGTTGTCGTGCACGTGGAGATGCTACTTCAGCTGACCTTCTGACCTTGCCATCTTCGGTTATAGGTCAATCACAAACGCTGGTGGATGAAATGGATGTCAGGCGAGCGCGTTCCTTGTTAGATCGATGTCGAACTTATCTAGCTCCTGCTGATTACCGATGTATGATGCGTGGCTTAATGAATCTTAATCAAGCTGTTCATTATCCCACATCAGCGGGTAGTAATCATGATCAGCAGTCGAGCAGAAATGAAGTTCTGGTATCTCTTGCATGTGTATTGAATTGTTTGAAAAACCATGTACCATTGTGGGAGGATTTTGTCCGCTTTCTGACTCCATCACAAGCCCGTAGTTTGGGTCTGCTGTCCACCTACTTAAATTTAGCTCGCATTGGTCGAGTTCAAAGGGTTTTGCAAGATATTGTTCCTCAAGATAGGAGGTTTTGGAGACGACTGCGCAACTTGGCAGACAGCTGTAGTATTAAAGCACGTTATATGCCAGTTAAAAAGAAGGTATATGTGGGTTCGAATGGTGCGCCTGCTGAATCTTCAAACACATCCGAAAATCCCAGCGGTTGCAGTGAAAGGCTATCTGATGGAACTCAGACCACCCACAAATCGTCTATGACAGAACAATGTCCTGTGGTGGACAGCAATCAGCCGAAGTCTCCACGTTTTAGAAGTGTGCAGCTGAAAGGAGGAGATATGCATGATTCGTTTGCCAAAGCGTGGTCAGTTCTTGAGCGCAGCTGGCGCAGTCGTCCTGTCCTGCTATCTTGTATCGCTAGTGTAATTAACACCAGACACAAACCTTGTTCTGGTTTTGAACAGGTGAGCTATCACGTGAATACATGCTTTACTTTTTAACACACTGTAACTTTTTTGTCTTAATGTAAGAAGTCTCAATGGTGTACATATGTCCAACTAAAATTATAACTCAGGTATGATGCAATACATGTCAAAATCTAAGTAATCATAAAATTTAGCTGATCAACAATAGTCACATGTATGTTTTGTTATAATTGTTTATTACGAGGTAGATGAATGTATAGATCTTACACTCATTATTTTTATGCTTTCTTAAAATCAATAATTACTAATGATTATTCTCAGTATATAAATGAGGTTTTTATTCATAAATTAGTAGGTCCATACAACTTTAAATGTCGACAAGTATTTCTGTGGAGAAATTTAAAGAGAACTTATTGGAAGCTGCTTTGCGAGCGAAGGAGAATGCTTACTGTCCAATAAGTCATTTCGCTGTTGGTGCATCAGTGTTGACTAGTGATAACAAAATATTTTCTGGTTGTAATGTAGAAAATGTTTGTTTGCCGTGTGGTTGGTGTGCTGAAGTCAGTGCAATTGGTACAGCAGTATCAAACGGTCATCGAAAATTAACTGCCTGTGCTGTAGCAACTAACTCGCCTACCTACGTTACGCCATGCGGACGTTGTAGACAAGTGATAGCAGAGTTTTCTGATAGTCAGTGTATTATATTTCTTGTGAATAAGGACAAAGAAGTGAAAACTGTTGAATTCGGTGAACTATTACCTTCTGGATTTAGTAATGAAGACTTGAAGAGTGGATGTGCAACGAAGGAGAAGAAAACTTAATTCACTCTTGTCAAGATTCAAAAGTCATTATTAAAAATCAGTAATTGAATGAACAAAAATGACGAAAACCTTGTTGGGATTTCATTGTTATTCTGATATTTTTTAAAATAGAAAATATGATGTTACTTAAGTTTTGCAGTGTTTTTCTAAAAATGAAGATTATTTGTGAATTTCAATGTTTCGTTGCATTTCCATTGATGGATAAATTATCAGAGTGACAACTCGTGAATGAACTTTATGAATATTGTGGTGGCTTAGGAGTGTGTGTCTGCAGGATTCATAAAAACTTGAGTTGGTATAATGATATTTTTTGTAATATCTGATGCTTAGGGTTTTGCTTAGATTACTATTCTTTGGAAATACGCTGCAACATGCTGATTCTTATTTGAGAGCTCGCAGTATATGTGATATATTTAACACTGTCTTTTTTGTGCACTTCAGATAAATGGGACAGATTGATTATATTTATTGAATACTGTTTTTTTTTGTGAACTCAATAGTCTGGAGGTTATAGGAGAGAAATATCAGAAATCTGTTCACCTCACTGTTGATTACCTGAAAATTCATGCGAGCTGATATACTAATTTTCAGAGTGTTGACAGCATTTATTTATGTTTCGTCAACAGCTTATATAACTTTGCAATTATTGTACAGATTTCCTAAGATATAGGTCATTGATGATCAGTTTGTGTAATATCACTAAGTCTCGAAACTTCTCAGGCAAATTGTAGTCAATGAGGATAGCGATGACCTTTATCTTGAAAATAAAATAGAGATAGTGTAATCAGTTGTGGCGAGACCAGCTCATTGGTAAACGCCCTTTCACAAGAAAAAGTAAGACAGACCGGATTATATGGTAAGCTGAAGTCTTCTGAGGATTGTGAATGCGCTTTAGCAACGGTTGGTAAATTTTGTGAAATCTATGGTTCGTCTTCAAAAGGAAGATACTGAGCGCCAACTTGATTAGTGGAAAACAAGTGTGCAATCAACTGAGAAACCCTTATGTATTGGAAGAGACACTATTGTATGTGACATTTCCACGACTACTCTTCGCCTCATCATGCCTAAATGTTATTGCCGTAACGTCTTCAATACTTTGCATGGCTTATTCCGACCAGGTTTTCGAAATACTGTCTAGCTCGTAACTAGTCGGTTATGTTGGCCGGGTGTTAATATCGCAGTAAGGGTAATGGGCAAACACGTGTGGAATTGATTCTGTTAGTGTTCTTGTCATAGTGCCTATTGCGGAATGCGGATAATATGTTCAGGTGAATTAGAGTCATGTTCAAGCGTATTTGGTCATTCGCCCGTTGAGGAAGGTGATTGCTTGGCAGGCTGCGCGACATATGTCCTAACCATCTTAGTCGATTGATTTCCTCTCCTTAACTAATACTCGACCGATGCCCCACCTCAGTATCGCCCACCTTGTTATACCACCTAACACGGGAGATACAACGCAGATACCTATGCTCAAAGACAGCTAGTCAGGCTTTCCATATCCTCCACTTCCAATGGCCATTGCTCACAGCCAGCCATAAAGGAGGATGGAGTGGACTGCTGAGCTGTACACACGTCTTCTGATCGATAGCCAGTCGGATATCACGTCTGCTGAGGCGGACATGGCCTCAGTTGTCGTATGCCAAGTGATTGGAACTTTCGTAATGCATGTTTCTTTGGAAACGGAAGCTGCTTCTTTTTGCAGTCGTTTTCAAGAAATTAAGTCACTCTATAGTGGAGTATTGGAATAGTTCACTATTGTCCTTCATTACATGAATAAACAACGCATTATGGTCCTACACATTAAGTTAAAACGGTTTTCCTATTAGAGTTAGAAACTCTTGGTGATGTAACTGAAAAGCGATTCAAGCAGTCCAGATGTATTCATAATGCATTCACTAAAGATTCTTTTATATAATGGCAGGGATTGGGGTTACATTTTTTGACATTTTTCTTCTCACACTCGCCGTACATCTTACTCTCTTCTAGTTGGTGTGTATATCCGATGTGTGACAACTTGGCCAACTACTCATTGATGGCAACTTCTATATGTATAGTAAGCGTGTTCGCCTGCTTACTTCCTGATAGTCTAACATGTCATGTTTCACTTTTAACTTGCTATTTCCCACTTATTGGTAACTCTTGATATTTCATTTCGGTATTTTTTAAAGATATGTTCGTGTAAGGTTTATAGGTGTTTTGAGGTACAGCAATTTTCATGCTTACAAGCGGAGAATAATCCTCATACAGTACTCTTGTCTTTCTCTGATTCCTTTAACTGCAATTGATAAACGCTAACGTTTGCTATTGGCGCAGTAACTGATTTTGATATCATTAGAAATTAATGTCTGATTAGTCTGCTATACGGACACACGGTGTTGATCTACACACTAATTTGTGAATCATAATCACAAGTTCGAGAGAAAACCCCGCGATGAATTACTGTTCGACTTCAGATAATGGAAGAGTGAAAGATCTAGTCTCACTGCTTTGATCAGACGAACAGCTATACTTGGATTTCCATAATACAAGATTCCAGAGTTATGAATGACCCGTGGATGGATTCAACACAGAGTATGGTTTATGAAAACCCCCTGATAAGCAGTTTAGTGAATAGCTCCAAGAAACAAGCTGTGTTAGTGTATGGATTTCAGTCGTTAATGTGATTTGCCTCACGGAATGTTTGAAATAATGCAGATCTATTACTGAAGAGATTTCAAGTAATCAGGAGTGATGCGAGTGCTGATAGTAATTTGTTGACGGTCGACTCTTCCCAGCTGCCCACATTATGAGAATTGATTTGTTCTTTCATTGTCTGAAAGAGAAAGGAATTTTGGCGGAAAATGGAAACATAATTTGTAATGTGAACTGGAGTCCTTTTTATTTCATAGTTTCCTATCAGCTGCAGACAGACTCCTACTCCTTTCATCGTGATTAGATTTTCTGATAGGACTCATCGAAATCATAGTTGCATTCTTTGTCTGTCCCTCTGCTTACAAGTGAGTGAGTCTAGTTATTCCCGTAATAAGATAATATTCCTTTCATTTTTGTTTACTTCAGTACATTTTTCTAAGATTCATAACAAGGAATAATGTCATATTATTTTATTTGTTTAGAGCTTCGAAGAGACAGATGTACTTGCTAGAAATCCTGTTGGGATTCCAAATGCTTCTGATGAATTGAATCAAAGTGCAAGTGTTTGTAATGTGGATGAATACACTCATGGACTAGAAGCTGATACCAACGATCCTGTGAATAATCTGTCTCCTCACCTACAATCTTTATTTTCTGATGGATGGGAAATATGCACAGATCTTTCTTCAGCTGCCTACAACCGCAATAACCCGCTAGGAACAGCTTGGGCACGTAGGCAATGTCCTTGTCTCTGTCATCTAAATGCCTCACCTAATAAGACTGCGGGTATAATGAATCAATCCGGAAAACCTGCAAAAGTGGATTGTCTGGGTTTGAGACATTGTATTTCTTGTAGCCTAAGAGTAAGTTATTACTATTAGTTCCTAATCAACGAACTATATGCAAGCGTAGTATTTCTAGTCTTATATACGCTTTTACTTATTTTGATATTTTAGTTAAACAATCCCAAGAAAATAATTGCAATAAACTTTCAAAGAAAGCTGTATTGCTTCCTAATTTATTTGTCTTTTTCTCCATTCTTTGCTGGGAATTGTAAGATGATGGTATGTGAGACAAATGGTACGCGTCATTTAATTAGACTTTCGGAAATTAATTTAAAGCACTGTTTGGCGTTGACAACATAGTAAGTTTCCTAATACAACTCAAGTTTACAAAGTAGCTGATTGTCGAATCACTAGAATTTCTCACAGAAGTCCATTTGTTCAGGTTGTTGTATTCCGAAAATGAAACAGAATGACAGGACAGTAGAAGAAAACATGATCCACTGATGCATATTTTTAAGTTATTCAACAGCCAATCAAAACAACCCCATGCTGCTTTTATATACATTGACAGGTTTACTGTCACTTCGACTTATAAGCTACCTTTCCACATTATAAACGTCTTTATAATGATGAACATGATAGTACAGTATTGCTTAATACGTAATGATTTTATCAAAAAACTCAATTACTATTCTATTTGTCAGATGAGCACATTGCATGTGGAGTTTGTTTCTGCTGATGTTCACTTTCCACTTTTATATTGATAAGTGCTTTATTTTTTAGGTGCATCGTGGGACACTTTATATTGATGAGTGTAATCTCCACCTACGTCATGTGCAGATAACTTGGCCACTTGGTTTTAAGCCCAAAACTCGTTTACCTACAAGTATTCCATCAAGTGATGCTCTTTCGACTCAAAACAATCGTTTAACAACAATGCAACATACATCAAGTATATCCACGCGTGTTGCTGTAAATGAACTTGCAAAAGTACATTCCAAATCATATTCATCAAATATATTATCGAATCACTGCACTCGACTACCAGATATGGCTGGTAGGCGTGTTTCAGTAGAATATGTTCATACACGTAAATCGACCACATCAATCAATCATGAAATCATCCCTTCAAATAATCACGGTTATGGTGATACTCTAGGAGCAGTTGAAATCCAGTCACCGTGCGATCTAACAGATTTGAACCTAAGATCATTTCTTGAACATAACGAAAGTGACTCAATCCCACAGGATCCACGCTCAAAATTTGGCTATTTAGAAAACCCTATAAGCTGGACACTAGATGACGAAGCTGCTTGCTTTAACACAGAGGCTTTTGCCTCTGTATCAGATGAGAACCATGAGTGTGAATTCCGTGTATTTAGTAACAGTGATATGGATGACTGGACCCCAGAAGAAGACAGGCAATTACTAGAATTTTGCAAGACCAGGGAGCATTACAGTTCCAAAATGTTCTCAATCCTGGCTGAAATCTGGGAACCTAAACCGTATGATTTCTGTCCTCAACGGAGCGCGGACGAACTAGAGGCGCGTTTCAAGCAACTGATGCGCGCCACTTTGAAGGAGACTTACGACCCTGAACTATTTCAAACACCTTGCACACGAAATTCATCAACTGACAGCGGTGAATAGGTTTTTATTATCATTTGTTTATTATTCTTTACATATTTCACATTCGATTTTATATGCCTTTTTTCTTCTAGTTACTTGAATTTTCCGGCTTTTAAATCTTTGTTTTCTTCCTGTAATAATGATTCAAAATTAAATGTTTATGCCAATGACCTTTCTTAAATACTATATAATTTATGTCGTTTACATGAAATTTAAATTTTATCATCAAACCAAAATCAACTCTGGATAACTTTGTGATAGTTTAGCCTTTAAATAATGTATATATGTTATCTGAAGGTAACTTCAAAAACATATTAAAATCGTTCTCAATGGCTGGCGCAGATGCATCCACTCCTTGTGACTTATGATTTCCAATTAAACTGTTTTGTTCCTCGTTATTACTATTCCTTTGTCTCACACCTCTGTTTACTGTCTCTAATATGCATTTCTCCTACTTTCTTCTGTTGCTTTGTGTGCTAAAAGGAGGGAGTGTGGCGATTTGAACTGCCGCACATATGTGCAAAGTTCTATGTCGAAAACAGACAGACAGATTAAAATGTGTATATAATCCATGTGTCACCGTTTTATACTGCTGTCGAAGAATTAATATGTAAGCTAAGACATAAGTGAAAACTGTGGAATCCTCACATTTTGTAGACATTAAAAGCCACCTCTTGCAGCCCTCCGAATAGTTATATTCACCTCCTAGAGAATTATATTAGCTAAATAGTGTGTTATTTTATTTTGAAGTGAATTAAATTAAAAGTCAATCTGAACGAAGAATATACTTTTCAATAATTTCTCCTCAGTTTCTTACAATTATAAAATATAACATTTGTTGTTGTGACAATAATGGCTAGGCTGAAATCGATTACAAAATATTGTAAATTATGAGACAGTGGTGGCGATACGTCCGAATAGATTTGTAGAGTGTGGAGTAGGAAAAATGATAGGTCATTTCAAAGTTATAAAAGGTGTCAGGCGAGTGGCACCTAACACTAACCATAAGAACAAGGATTGTTAGAGCAATTCTGTAGTAACACGAAATCTGAACAGACTCCAGGAATCGATGGCTGAAATAGTTCATAGTTTTTATCAAAAACACCTAATAATACAGATATAACGTCAGTCAATTATTTATTTATTTTTTTTATTTAAACGCATTAAAACTTGGTACAATATGGCACCAAGAAGGATGCGCCACACAATAATAATAAAACAACATAGATGAAAAAAAGGAAGGAAGGCAGGAAAAGAAAAAATATATATAAGTAGAGAACGAATAAAGAACTTCATCTGGAAGGAAAACACTCATTCTTAACAGGTTCAAACAGTGTTCGTTAACTATCATCGGGAATGGAAGAAAGAAGGAAATCGCAACACATTCGCCATTGATTACGATTCTTGGCCATATCCGATAACGTTTCGAGCCATCGATTTGAGCTATCTCTCAGACCCCAACCAGGGAGTCGTGACACACCAACCGATGCTAATCTAGCACAGAAATCCTTCATCCCACGACTCCACGTCATGGGCTGACCACCTCTCCGCCTTTTCCATCCCATCCCAGGGCTAGCGAACAGAGACCTGTACGGAAGCCTCTGGGATGGCATTCGCAGCACATGTCCAAGCCACCGGAGCCGGTGTTTCCAGATGACGACATTCAATGAATGGTGATCTCCACTGTGTTCAAACACACGCCGCCGAACCTCAGAATTACTCACGCGATGATGCCATCGAACGCAAGCAATCCTGCGGAGACAGCGGTGATCGAACACGCAGAGTCGCCTCACATCCTCAGCTCGGAGAGGCCAGGTTTCGCAGGCGTAGAGCAGCGCAGCCCGCACCGAAGCATTGTATACCCGACCTTTGACAGCCAGGCTAACGGCGCCAGAGGTGGCTCAAGTTGATGTATGCCACCCTAGCTTTCATTATACGGTTGGAAATCTCATCCGTCACCCCTCCGCCAGCACTCACACAACTACCTAGGTACACAAACTTATTGACAACTTCAAGCGGCTCACCCGCAAGAGTCAGTGCAGGTACAGGCTCCTGCCAATCTTGTAACAGTACTTTGCACTTAGACGGCGCAAAGCACATACCATACTTACAGACACTGATCGCCAACTGATTAAGTGCGATTTGGGCAGCCTGCATGCTATCGCACAGTAAGACGATATCGTCTGCATACTCGAGGTCGAAAAGTCTATCTCTAGGTAGCAGATCTACACCACCTTCACGCACATCCTTCAGAGCTGACTCCAGAATGTCATCGATGGCAAAGTTAAAGAGAAATGGAGAGATTGGGCAACCCTGTCTAACCCCAGTGTTGGTTGGGAACAGTGGTGATAGTTGGTTGTATGCCCTCACTCTACCTGAGGTGTTTCTGTATAGGGCTTTCAAGATGTTAACAAATTTGTCAGGTACACCTCTCTCTAACAGACAGTTCCAGAGCACAGTTCTGTTCAACGAATCGAAGGCAGCCCTAATATCAAGAAACACAACGATCGTTGGCCTGCAATACGTGTGGCGGTGTTCTAACAACTGACGAAGGGTGAACACATGATCAATGCATCCACGACCTGAACGAAACCCAGCCTGCTCTTCGCGAATCAATCCTTCACGTATTTTGCACAGTCTGCGAAGCATGACAGCAGCCAATATTTTAGACGCAACTGGTAACAGACTGATACCCCTGTGGTTGTCACACGAATTACGTCGACCCTTTTTAAAGATGGGGACGATAATGGCTTCGTTCCACATTGATGGTACGCTCTCCGTCTCCCACACCCTCCTGAACAACTCAGTTAGAGCCATTATGAGAGTCTCGCCACCATCTTTAAAAAGAGCCGGGGGTAATTTGTCTGGGCCGGGCGCCTTATGGCGTTTCAGAACTTGGAGTTCCTTACGGACCTCCGCTTCGGTGGGTGGGTCGGTACTAACCGACCAAGGAGCACTCGGGCTAATGATAGTAGACAATGAAGCTGGTGGCCAGGTGAACTGCTTCCCGAAGTGCTCTGCCCAGCGTTCCAGGCGTCTCTTAAGGCTGGTAATTGGAGTGCCATCTGCCTCACAGACCGTCTCGCTGACACCTTGTTTCTTGCTGCCGGTGGCTCGTATGAGTTGGAACAGCTTCCGACTGTTGCCAGATGCAGCAGCCGACTCCATCTCATACGCACGTTCTGACCACCAGGCTTCGCGGTCCTTACGTAAACACTGTCTAATCTTGCGCGTGAGCGCCTTTCGCTGATTGTTGTATTCACTGCCAGCCGGAATGGACCGGCGTTCATCCATGAGTTGCAGGGAACTCGCAGAAACCCAGTGGTTGTTAACGGAGCATTCTTTCAAGCCGCAAGCTGCTACACTCGCCCTTTGCATGGCACCTTGCAGATGGAGCCAATGTTCATCTATACTACTTGGGGGGTTGCTGGAAAGCATTGATTGTAACTCATTCTGATATTTCAAACAAGTAGCAGGTGCTACTAGTTTGCTCACATCAACGCTTAGACGACGGTTTTTACGAACCCCACCAAATCGCAAGACGAACTTGGCACACACTAACGCATGATCGGAGTCCAGGCATGTGCTCCAGAGGGAGCGACAGTCTTGTATGCATCCTCGCCACCGGAAACTGACCGCAATATGATCAATCTGAGTCCAATCTTGCTTCGCAGAGGGAGGACGCCAGGTAGCGCTACGGCGATGGCTGTGCCGGAAGTTGATGCTGGCTAGAAATAGGTTGTGATCCGCGCAAAGCTGCAGAAGACGGTCCCCATTATCTGACCTGCGACCAAGTAGTCCCCACTGACCACCTAGACGACTCTCCTCTGAGCTTAGACGCCCGACCTGTGCATTCGCCCCTGTGAAATGTAAGATGCTGCTACAGGACTGGACTACGTCAACTCCAAGCTTAGTGATAGGGAGTGAAGTGATAGAACATGTTGACCACTTCACCTATTTGGGAAGTTGTATCAGCACCAACGGATTGATTGGTGACGAAATCTCAGCACGGATCCAAAACGCTCGGCTTGCTTTCGCTAACTTTCACCGTCTCTGGCGTAGGCGTGACATCCGGCTATCAACCAAGGGACGTGTATACTGCTCAGCAGTTCGCTCCGTCCTTCTCTATGGCGGTGAGACGTGGCCATTGAGAGCGGAAGACATGAAGAGATTGTCTGTTTTTGACCACAGATGTTTACGATCTCTTTCTCGCGTTAGGTTGTATAATAAGGTAAGTAATGTTGACGTTAGGCGTAGAGTGTTGGGCAAAGAGGGAAAATCACTCGAAGAGGCTATGAAGTTACATAGATTGAGATGGTTAGGTGACGTGCTGCGCATGCCTAACCATCGTCTCCCCCGACGGGCATTACTAGCTGATATAGGTTCAGGTTGGAAAAGAGTAAGTGGTGGCCAAACAAAAACATGGCATCAGTCCATGAAATCCTTGACAGTTAAACTGAGTCAGGTAGGGAGATACAGACTTCCGGGTTGGGGCCCTCGGGACTCTAAGAATCACTGGCTGGAGACAATAGGTGACATGGCTCAAAATCGTTGTCAATGGCGCAGATGTATTCAGTCTCTTTAACCTTCATCCTCCTTTCTACCATTACTCATTCTGTTTCACTCTTATACTTGTCAAAACTCTATTGATTCTCTTCACTCATTTTCTTGTCTACCTTTGTGTGCCATTTGGAACGTGGCAACTCGAACTGCTGCACTTCGGTGCCAAGTTCTATGTTGAATCCAGACAGACAGACAGACCTGTGCATTCAAGTCCCCAGCTAGCACTACGATATCCCTCCGACCCGCCTGTTTCAACAGATCGCTCAGTTGGTAGTAAAACTCATCCTTCATTGCATCCGGGCTGCAATCCGTCGGTGCATAGGCAGAGACAACAAATAGACACCGCCTATCTGGCCTACTACTCCTTACTTTCGTATATCCTTCCAGCCTCACAGCACATAAACGACTGTTAATGGGAATCCAGTCGAGCAGTGCAACTTCGGCTCTAGCGCTCAGTGCGACACCGACACCAGCTATGCCGGATGCCGATGCCACAGGGTCCCCGGATAAGCGCAGGTGGTACATACTACTAGAACTTCCAGATGGAGAGGATAGTCGAAGCACTTCACTGGGATCTTGAATGCGGGTCTCCGAAATGCAGCAGACCTCGATAGCGAGGCTTTCCAAAGTTCTTGCCAACCCTGCCTGTTGTCCGATTTGCATAAGCGTCGGAACATTGTAGGTAGCCAGCTTGAACGCAGCACGCGGTTTCAGGATATCTGTGTTAGAAGTCACATTGGGAACAACCATTTTGAGGACTACTCACTAACATCTCGAAACGACACGGATAGGCTGGGAATCTCGACAAAGGCGAAAGCTGTCGAAGGTTAAGAAGCCAAGGTTAGCAAAGGTAAAATACGGGAAACTATGTGTAAAAATAAAAGTAAGATAGGAAGGAAATAAGTTGCTTGAGGGATCAGTATTGCTTGGAATCATTTTTACTAGCGCGTTGAGCTTCAATGAGAGTTCGTTGTTTCAATTCATTCATTGTATGCGGGCTGAGATACTGCCCGGGCGCCCAGACCGAAGCAGGTGGTTTTATTAAGGGACCACCCCCCGAGCCTTTGACTTGGAGTCTAATCCGCAAGGCAGCGTAGCAGCGTCAGGTGGTGCGTTCCCATGGTTGCCGGTGACCCATATGGGTTCGTACGCCATTTGATCCGATTGGATTCTGGAGCCCATGTACCCCATGGTAACTGCTTTTAGTCTAACCGCTTTCCAAACAACCTTCCTGGCATGGTAGGACCTGCAGGGACATGAGTCCCAGCCAGTTTAGCTTGTTGGGTCACTGTGGCATTCAAGCCTGACCACCACGCCAAGGTAGCAGTTATCGGCCGGGCAGTCAATAACACATAAACACAAATGATCAGTATGATTAAGACCATATATTTCGTAACCACATATATCTGTCTAATTAACTAAAAGGAAATTAAGAGGGAACGCCGGATTTACTTGTCCTTGTCCATTCAGTCCTCGTTTACACCGCAACTCCATGAAGCTGGATGAACTAAAGGATGACTGCTACTTGAAACTGTCTAGTTTCCTGGAAAAAGCAAAACGCTTAGATATAGTTGTTTAAGCAGGCGACTTCAATATCCTAATAGGGAAGTTATGCCAGATTGAGAAGTATATAGGTGGTACGTATGGAGTTCCTTGCTGACGAACCGACAACGGTGATCGTCTTCTAGAGTTCTGTTCAGAAAATCGTCTGTTCCTAGTGAGTACTAACTTAAGACACAAAGAGAGACATTGCCTAACCTGGCGACCTCGATCTCCAGATCAATGTTGTACGCAAATAGACCACATATCGATAGGCTATCGTTGGCGAGGATTAGTAGAAGACTGCCGCTTCTTCTAGAAGACGTGCGTATACTCCGACCAAGCCCTGGTTCGCTCACGTTTATGCTTCCGATTAAATGGGCATAAAACACTGTTGGCAGAGAGGCAGCTACGTCCTTTAACTAGATGACGACACTGAGTCTCTATTTAAGGTAGAAATAGCTAAACACGTATCGGAGATGGACAGCAAGACTCCTCATGAGGAAGCCTGGTGCAATATACGGTTAACTGTATACACAGCTGTGAAGGCTGTTGTTAATAACCTGAAACCAAAAGTTAGTAAGAGCCAGTGGATTTCTACCACCTCATCCGAATTGATTAAGGCAAGAAGACTGATTCCAGCGAGCTCCGAATATGATGAGGAGCGAAAGATTCTCAAAGGTGACCGTGGAGAGTAGTGGGCGAGAAAAGCGTTACGTTGATGACACATTTATAGTGTGCAAAAATGATAGTCATGCTTCACATCTACTAAGATTATTCAATGATGCACACGCCAATATCAAGTTCACTATGGAATGTGAAAGTGACGGAAAGTTCCACTTCCTCGACATCGCCATGGAACGCCTAGAAGACGGTAGTCTTCAAAAGTCAATTTATCGTAAGTCCACATGGAAAGGACAATACTTGAATTTTAATAGCTTTTGTCCAAATAGCTATAAACGAGCACTGGTCAAGACTCTGTACTATAGAGCGAGAAGAATATGCTCTACAGAGAAACTAGAGGAAGAATTTGAGTTTCTTCAAAAGACATTGAAGAGCAATGGGTACCCTCATAGGTTCATCAACAAGTATGGAAGATCTGCAGTTGCAAATGAAAAACAAACCACAGTAAGAAAAAAGCCAATCTACTTTGAGCTTGATTATAAAGGCGAAAACATTGCAGTGATGATCAACAGAAGGCTGAGTCCATCACTAGCCATAGCCTATCCTGCAGCTAAGCTCGTTCCCGTCTTTCGAACAACTTGCTCTCTGGTGCAATCAAAAATCGATAGATATCCTTCTCATGTTAACTCCAACTGTATATACAAATTTACATGTATCTGCGGGAGCAGTTACATTGGAAGAACAGAAAGAAGAGCATATCTACGATTTTCTGAACATGTACCAAAAAGCTTGCGTCTAAAGGGAACAAATGCTTTAGGCAGTTCCATCGCCAGGCATCTTCTTGAGACGGGTCATGAGATGGACGTGGAAAAGTCATTCAAAATTATCAATAAGCAAAAGAGTTCAATGCTCCTTAAGTTCGCTGAAGCCTTTTCCATCAAGCGCGTAAAACCTGATTTGTGCGTTCAGAAAGAAGCAGTTATCAGTCTTTCTTTGCCCTGGTAACTGGATATTTGTCATCCTAATGCGAGATACTGAAAAGTTTTCATTTTTTATGATTATTATTGCTCGGAATTGTGTTCAATATTGCATATATATATTATTAGTGTATGTGTATATTGATCGATTGATTTCTGTTTAAAATGAACTCTGTGCAAGTATGTTAGATTGTTTCTGTAGATACATTTAATAATGTTTTGCCCTGTAAGCAGCTGAAGAGAAGGCGACGAAAGAAAATATGGTACCATTTTATTCTGCTAAAACTGTAGTTGCTGCTTTGTTCAAATTCATTAAGGGGAACAAATGTATGAAATTACTTGACTTTTCTTGGCTTACAAATTCTTGTGTGATTCTCCTTTCAGTACTGTGGTTCTCAGCAGAACTAGCGAGCCTGGTTTGGTTGAAGTTACCGAGGTCACAGATGAGCCAGGGTCAATTTCCAATGAAAAGTCGACGAACTTACCAAGCTCAGAAATACGGCATGGTCGTGTTTGTCAGCGTATTACATCACATCATATTGAATTCATCTTAGCCCGTATTAACAAACGAAAGTCAGATGGTTATACAAATAAAAATGAAGCACGGAGCGTTGCAGATTGCGATATTTTGAATGGTGTTGTGACGTCTGGTGTTAGTGATTTTATTCAAGGCGAGCAACAATTTAATGAAATTTCAAATGTTTTCGAATCTTATTACAATAATACTGGCAATGTAGCGCTAGATGCATGTCAAAAAGTAGCTGATTCTTTAGTGAACACCTTTCATCTTGGTTTCGATAGATTTTCCGGTGATTATGGAGACACATGTTTTAGTCCAAAGAAGTTTAACCACATTCTGAAGTCACCGTACATCTTTAACGCTGCTAATACTACTTCGTATCTGAGCCCTGGGTGCCCCAGTCATGTCCAGCCTATTCCGGACTCTCTAGTTTGTATTAGTGATGAGTGTCAGAGCCAACAAGCTGGTGTTTTCCCCAGTGCTTGTTTTGTGTCTTCCAGTCGTTTTATTGCACGTTGTCGTGCACGTGGAGATGCTACTTCAGCTGACCTTCTGACCTTGCCATCTTCGGTTATAGGTCAATCACAAACGCTGGTGGATGAAATGGATGTCAGGCGAGCGCGTTCCTTGTTAGATCGATGTCGAACTTATCTAGCTCCTGCTGATTACCGATGTATGATGCGTGGCTTAATGAATCTTAATCAAGCTGTTCATTATCCCACATCAGCGGGTAGTAATCATGATCAGCAGTCGAGCAGAAATGAAGTTCTGGTATCTCTTGCATGTGTATTGAATTGTTTGAAAAACCATGTACCATTGTGGGAGGATTTTGTCCGCTTTCTGACTCCATCACAAGCCCGTAGTTTGGGTCTGCTGTCCACCTACTTAAATTTAGCTCGCATTGGTCGAGTTCAAAGGGTTTTGCAAGATATTGTTCCTCAAGATAGGAGGTTTTGGAGACGACTGCGCAACTTGGCAGACAGCTGTAGTATTAAAGCACGTTATATGCCAGTTAAAAAGAAGGTATATGTGGGTTCGAATGGTGCGCCTGCTGAATCTTCAAACACATCCGAAAATCCCAGCGGTTGCAGTGAAAGGCTATCTGATGGAACTCAGACCACCCACAAATCGTCTATGACAGAACAATGTCCTGTGGTGGACAGCAATCAGCCGAAGTCTCCACGTTTTAGAAGTGTGCAGCTGAAAGGAGGAGATATGCATGATTCGTTTGCCAAAGCGTGGTCAGTTCTTGAGCGCAGCTGGCGCAGTCGTCCTGTCCTGCTATCTTGTATCGCTAGTGTAATTAACACCAGACACAAACCTTGTTCTGGTTTTGAACAGGTGAGCTATCACGTGAATACATGCTTTACTTTTTAACACACTGTAACTTTTTTGTCTTAATGTAAGAAGTCTCAATGGTGTACATATGTCCAACTAAAATTATAACTCAGGTATGATGCAATACATGTCAAAATCTAAGTAATCATAAAATTTAGCTGATCAACAATAGTCACATGTATGTTTTGTTATAATTGTTTATTACGAGGTAGATGAATGTATAGATCTTACACTCATTATTTTTATGCTTTCTTAAAATCAATAATTACTAATGATTATTCTCAGTATATAAATGAGGTTTTTATTCATAAATTAGTAGGTCCATACAACTTTAAATGTCGACAAGTATTTCTGTGGAGAAATTTAAAGAGAACTTATTGGAAGCTGCTTTGCGAGCGAAGGAGAATGCTTACTGTCCAATAAGTCATTTCGCTGTTGGTGCATCAGTGTTGACTAGTGATAACAAAATATTTTCTGGTTGTAATGTAGAAAATGTTTGTTTGCCGTGTGGTTGGTGTGCTGAAGTCAGTGCAATTGGTACAGCAGTATCAAACGGTCATCGAAAATTAACTGCCTGTGCTGTAGCAACTAACTCGCCTACCTACGTTACGCCATGCGGACGTTGTAGACAAGTGATAGCAGAGTTTTCTGATAGTCAGTGTATTATATTTCTTGTGAATAAGGACAAAGAAGTGAAAACTGTTGAATTCGGTGAACTATTACCTTCTGGATTTAGTAATGAAGACTTGAAGAGTGGATGTGCAACGAAGGAGAAGAAAACTTAATTCACTCTTGTCAAGATTCAAAAGTCATTATTAAAAATCAGTAATTGAATGAACAAAAATGACGAAAACCTTGTTGGGATTTCATTGTTATTCTGATATTTTTTAAAATAGAAAATATGATGTTACTTAAGTTTTGCAGTGTTTTTCTAAAAATGAAGATTATTTGTGAATTTCAATGTTTCGTTGCATTTCCATTGATGGATAAATTATCAGAGTGACAACTCGTGAATGAACTTTATGAATATTGTGGTGGCTTAGGAGTGTGTGTCTGCAGGATTCATAAAAACTTGAGTTGGTATAATGATATTTTTTGTAATATCTGATGCTTAGGGTTTTGCTTAGATTACTATTCTTTGGAAATACGCTGCAACATGCTGATTCTTATTTGAGAGCTCGCAGTATATGTGATATATTTAACACTGTCTTTTTTGTGCACTTCAGATAAATGGGACAGATTGATTATATTTATTGAATACTGTTTTTTTTTGTGAACTCAATAGTCTGGAGGTTATAGGAGAGAAATATCAGAAATCTGTTCACCTCACTGTTGATTACCTGAAAATTCATGCGAGCTGATATACTAATTTTCAGAGTGTTGACAGCATTTATTTATGTTTCGTCAACAGCTTATATAACTTTGCAATTATTGTACAGATTTCCTAAGATATAGGTCATTGATGATCAGTTTGTGTAATATCACTAAGTCTCGAAACTTCTCAGGCAAATTGTAGTCAATGAGGATAGCGATGACCTTTATCTTGAAAATAAAATAGAGATAGTGTAATCAGTTGTGGCGAGACCAGCTCATTGGTAAACGCCCTTTCACAAGAAAAAGTAAGACAGACCGGATTATATGGTAAGCTGCAGTTTTCTGAGGATTGTGAATGCGCTTTAGCAACGGGTGGTAAATATGGTGAATTTGCAATGTTTAATTTCATCCCACTTCATCCGGAAGCATTTTATTGTTACCTTACAGGCGTTGTTTACTTGATAAATAGATTCTGATAAAACAACCCAATGGATACTAACCTTGAATATTATTCGTTTTATATTTCTCACGTATGCTATTTCCAAATTATATTTCATAATAGGAAAGGTGCATTTTATCTTCCGTTTGTGCTTTTTGTTTCTCTTTGCACTCTGTCTCATTTTATTAAACCATTTTTCTTGGTGACGCAGTTTCGCTTCATCTTCGTAAACAATACTGAACCACAAGAGAAAACATCCTGTGCTATTGGAAGCGTTTTTTGTGAACGGAACATAAACAGGTACAACAAACCCACTTAAGACAATCTATCAGAAGTCATTCATGCACACAAACCTTATGAAGAGAATTTTGGTGTGAAGTGATTGCAACTATAAGTACTCGCCAGGGATGTATAATGTCTGCATTCCTGACTAAATCTATTGTTGACGTGCAATAAATTCGGTTTTAATTAATTCGCATTTAGTGATTGACAATTTCCTTTGCTGTAATTTTCAACCCTTCATTACTGGGCGAAGTTCAACAATAGAGTCCCAGGATTGTAAGTGTTCCAATGTCCTTGTGAATGTTCCAATGACCCTGAACGCATGCTAGTCATTGGTTGAGGAAGCTCACCATTATTCTAGCGCGAATAATTGTGCGTACTGGTAAGTGACACTGAATTAATTGTCTTCCAGGAACTTTCTTTGAAAAGTTGAAACTGTCTTTGATGAATATCTTGTTTCTGTCCAATTATTGGGTGCCAGAGCGAATAACGTTTGGGTTTTAGGAATTTATGACACCTAGATTCGCAAAGGATTTATGGAGCTAATTCTAGATAGGAGTGCTGATACACTCCTCCCTATTATTCAGCGTCTCGTCTTACCAGGCACCACCATCGAAGGTTTCTGGCGAAGACTGAAAAATAGAATCCGAGCTATCAACGGATCACAAAACAAAGTTATTTTCAGTCATTTGGATGAATATATATATAGAAATTGGTTTAATTTAAAAACTGAAACTCCTCTTAATAATCGGAACATTTTTTTTACCTCATATTAGAGAAAAGTACTCTGTTTGATTGCTTTTCATGCTTATTTATGTATAAATACGTAAAATTTTATGCAAAAATCATCCTTTTTTCTGATTAGTCGGTTCAAGGTCACTTGTGCGTTCGTTCCTTGGGACTCTATTGTTGAACTTTGCCCATTACTGTTTGTTCCTTTTTTTGTATGTATATAATACAAGTAATTCTCACAAATACGAATTTTCCATTTCTGTCCTCTCCGTGTAGCTCTTTGGTTTACTGTTATTCGGCCACTGTGTAATACAGTCACAAACGAGTTTTGACGTCGCTGTGTAATTAATGTTCGAGATCGTGAAATTTCGGCTCATTGTTGTGTTGTGATTGGGCTACAAACACACAGTCTATCAAAGTCTTTTGTACATCCAGATAAGCGTATTTCACTGTCATATTGACAGTCTCCGAGGTCTTTTGGTAGATTATTTCCATGTTACTTTTTTTGAAACACGAGGGAGTTTGTAGTTCAGAAAACTTGTTCGTGCTTATAGCGAAAATATTCGTGGAGGCAAATGCGAGCTTCAAAATGCAATTTTGGAAATTAGCTTTACAATCAACCGCATAGTCATTTAATTGGTGGTATTAATATTCCAAAGGAAGAAGGTGGTCCAAGAACCTTTCAGATTGTTAAAGATTTGTCTACCGCACATCAAGATGTCAGCAGCAAATATCCGGTTCCCACTTCACTATAGCCTGATATAATGCTGTCTAAAGTTCATAATGCAGATATTCATGTTGAGAAATCCAATATTTCATCTACCAGTAATAAATGGCATACAAACAACAATAATATCAATTTTTATTTTTCATATTGAAAGATTCACTTAAGAGGTACTTATCACTTTCGTAAGAATGCACATGTTATGCTTACTACCATTTCATTTACAGGCATTACGCATTATTTGTGTCGTGCAAGCTATTTCCAGAGTCAAACTTACTGACATTTTTGCGGCATGTAATTGATACTGTGTTATAATTATTTGTGAAAGCAGTATTTCGCAATGACCAAATTACAGGAAATCAACCAACAACATAGAGAGGGATGAATTTAGGAATTTGTATTTGGCAGAATTACTTGTGATTCACTTAATAAATATTAACAAACAGCAGTGAATATTTAAACAGTACAGTAAAAGGAATTGTCAATCACTACACACTGAGTTATGAATGTCTGTCTGATGAGTTGTATTCTGGATAGTATTAAATGTTTTGTGCCACAAATTAGGTTGATGATATTAAGTGACAATCAAATTTTAACATATCTGCTGGATTTTCTGAAAGGTTGACTTTGAATCTAAAGATGTGATATTTTCACATGTTTATTATTATTATTTTTTTTTTGATTTACAGCTTGATTCCACACCGTATTTTCAGTACAAGTGTGGAATTTTCAGCATGGATATCGGTAGCCCAAATTCAGGCTGACCATAGATATCGGGTGTGCGCCGGCAGGGGATCGAACCCCGGACCATGTGCATGGTCGGCGAGAGTCCTAACCACTGTGCCAGAATTCAGAATTCTGTTCATACTTTGATTCACCTAGTTCCGTTGATTAGTTTGAACAAAGCATGAATAAATATGTTTGGAGAATATAAATAACTTAATTTTTATTTCATACTTTTTCTTCAAATGCTTACGACGTGAACATCCACAACTGATTACAAATGTTATTATGCAACGTACTTCGGAATTACTTCACCCCAAACGACATCTCTTTAAATTCTAAGCACAGTAATGGAACAAGAGGTAAGAGTAGAAGATACTTCATAATCAAACAAGTAGAAATTATTCATGATTACAAGAGTTAAAATGAGGGGGAAAGAGTAGAAATGTTTTGTAAGTACAATTATTACACAAACTTTTCTAGTACGAAGTATTTTTCATTAATTGTAACTTGCTCGAAGTCTGTAGTGCCTTAATTTATTTCATTCTGAAACTGTGGATCACAAGAGTATATGTCAATGGAATCATCTTTAGGCGAAATACGTCTACCATATATGGGAATCACAACCTGCACGTATCTTCGGCATTGTGATTCTTTCTCTTCCTTTCATATTTTCCATATTGTTTCAGAGTATCGTTTATCTCTTCTCTTCGCCATTAAATCCATCTCTCCGTTGTTCAATATTCTTGCAGATGATATACATGTTGATATCTGTATCTATAAATTGCTTATAAAGTTTGTCAGTAGAACATGCCACAAACCGACTTATAGTTCAAATGGTTGAATATTTATTGATTTTATTGTTCCAGTTGGGGATTGCTGTTTTTTACATTTTGACTTTTGATGTGTGTGTTTGTCTATCAAAGCATCTGAAACCCTACTGTATTCACTCTGCTTTTTTAATTTTCAGATAATGATGGTATACCACTCACTTATTATTAACTTAGTTTATCAATTTTAGACGTATTCACCTTTTCCACATTTTTAGTAAGTCACCGGTTAAGATTTTTATCCTGCTCTCCTGTCTTCTTAATTCTTCATCATTTTCAATCAGCAATGTTCATCAGGAGGAATGTTTAAAAGTTTGTATGGTGATAATGCCGTGACGCATTTGATTATTCATCACTGTATTATACTTTCACTATGTGATTCGACCTTGATTTGTTTGTCACTCTAAAGATTGCTTGATAATAATTGATACATTGTACTCGCTCAACTTTTGAATTTCGACTACTACAAGAATACACGTTCAAACTCCTTCTCAAGTGCCATTTGATATACGCTGTGGATGTCGAGTAATCACAACGTTAGGACACAATAGTAAACGCGAATAGGTACTAGGATATACGTGTGCACTAGGTTGGTCAAATACAGCAGCACAACAATATTACCTATCATCTCACCAATAGGTACTTTAAAAACAAAGTCGTTTATTAAGGCAGGTGTTTGTGAAAGTGATTTAATCTTTCTAATTTAACTGTGATCACTCTGTATGGATGGTCACAACTCTTCTTCATCCGATGTCACCACTTATCTGAAGAGAGACAGAACAAACATTGGTGCCGTTTTATTTTGTTGATTCTCTAAAGCTGCATACAACCTATTATTTAAAAAAGTAATAATACAATTTCAGCATGCATTTTGTTTA